AAGAACCGGAGAATATTGAGTATGTGTGGTTCTGAAAAGAACCGGAGAATATTGAGTATGTGTGGTTCTGAGAAGAACCGGACGATATTGAGTATGTGTGGTTCTGAGAAGACCCGGAGGATATTCAGCATTTCAGGCACTATGTTCTGTCCATCTTCAGGAGACTGCCGATACGCTGTTGTACATGACAGTGGCATGTTGTCGTACATGATGCATGTCTGTGATTCCAATCACATACCCAACGTCCAAAGTATCTCTGTTGTATTCAAATGAATAAGTGATCATTACTGAAAACAGTGTCAGTGAGGAAGAAAGGCAGCACTCACATGCATATGCCCTGTGTCAAGACCTGGGAATGTTGTTGTCCAGTGTTCACGTGTACTGCAGTCACATTAATTTGACCTTTACCTCTTAATGTTGATATAAATGTCCAACTTAGGTGAATCTCTGTTTGCTGATGGTGGAGATCAATGTGCTGCGAGTTTATCATGGACAGCGTTGAGACCGAGAATGCTTTTCACAGTGCTCTGTGTACATTGCTTTCTGAATAAAGTGGTTGCATTCGAAGTGCATATCATTAGGTGAAAGCAGCAGGACGCCATCTAGTGGCGGTTTCTTGAATACGATAAGCACGACCGAGTTCAGGAAAAGTTTTGCCATAGGCATCAACAGGTTAACAACCAGGGCATCTTATAAGTATTGCTTGCCACTTATTTTTAGCAAATAGCTCATCAATTTTGCTCAGTAGTGTTGTTTGCACCATCGCTCCTTGATATCAGACCCTGTGAAATGTCAAATTTTTTAAATACAAGAAACAAAGGGGTTGAAATTGAATAGGGATGTGGTTGATTGATTAGATTCGAACGACTTAAGAATTTCTGGAATTGATTCTGATTCTCTGCGGGAGTGGAAATGTACCAGGAAAAAGTTTTAAATTCCTAACTTCTGTTGTTGTTAGTTAGATTTATAGAAAACATTGACACTATTCTGTGTTAACCCTAACAGTCCCAAATCCTCCAATTTCAATACAATTTTACATACAACCTGGGGGTTAGGGGTAATATTTGTTTTTACCTGATTTGGTTGGAAAGCCCCTCGACAGGAAGTTATTTCCTTTTGAGCGAATAGATATTGTCTTCGTTTATTTAAAAAAAATCAAAATCTTACGCTTTTTGTGTGTGTAATGTTTTGACCTGTATAGCCCAAGAAATGAAATAAATAAATAAATAAATAAATAAATAAAATTCAATCTCAGGAGAAGTGGAATCATTGGCCACTTGGAGATGCTCCTTTATAAGAGGTTCAATTTCAGTCTGACACACTTTGTGAGAAACAGAAGACCCAATAAATGAATCATTTTCATGGTGACTGCAGTTATGTGTAATAAACCATGAGGAACTCTTGCATTACGTATGTGTAGCTGAATGGTGACATCTTGTTTTATGTACTTTAACAAAGCCACTTTCACAGTGGAATGTATTTTGTTATCTTACCTGGTGCACTGTAATAATTGGTAACTGTCATTTTTTTGGGGTCTACTCTGACCATTCAGGACGAAAGGCAAAGTACCAGGAGTCGTACCCACTAGTGCGAGATGCCCGCAAGACGTCTGACCACAGTGTAATGATAACCACACCAGGTACTGATGACATCACCTCCGCACCACAACATAGGAATACCACTGATGGTAACAGTAAGTAACAATCTGCCTGCCATTCAGCACCCATCATAAAGTACCCATTGTCCAACTGAATTGAAACTTAGATTCACTGAGTCTGGAAGCAGTGTTGTCCAGAAGTGCTGGCTGCCGGTGATTTGACAGGCTACTTGGTCGTCTTCCGCCAACTATTTTTTTGTCAATAATGATAAAAAAAAATCATATTGTCTACTCTGAAAGCATTTCTTTCAAATCTCTTACACCGCATTCCCACTTGATCCACCAATTGGGAGATCTGATCCACCTTTTGCCAAATTGCTGGATCAGATCCCCTAATTGGCGGATCAGATCCAACAAGTGTGTGTAGTGGGAACGCTAACCGTTATAACGTGGATCAGGATCAGATCCACCTTGCTTGATCGTCCTCTGGAGCAAGATACAGATCCCCCAATTGGTGGATCAGATCATGCAATTGGTGGATCACGATCAGATGGGAACGCAAAAGGTGGATCTGATCTGGCAATTTGACCTGTCAACATCCGTCCGTGCATTGGTGGCGCAGAACTTTTGCGGTCTGATGTACAAAGAGATACGTTTTTTTGTATGTAGCTCATGTGAACATTTTTAATGTGCACAGCATGAACAATAAACAACCCCTGAACTACGGGCTAGCAAAATGTGTCACCACGCATTCGCAATGCATGCATGCCGCGATGTGTGCCTAGCTCTTTCACAATTTTCATTGCGCATTCGTCTGTTTCTTAACTTTTTCATTCGTGTTATTTTACTTGCTTTCCTTCAAAAACTAATTCTGTGTTAGCGTATAACCCGCAGTGTGTAATAGAGTATCGGAAACAGAAGCAAAGTTTGAAGAGACAACGTACTAGCTAGGTTGAACATTCGATCCGATTCAAGGTCGGCACGTCAGTAGAACTCCGCATCTAAGAAACCTTTGGATTTCTTCCTCCCATGTCGAAAGCTGGGAATATCAAACCACTGCAAGCATACGCATGCAATTTGAACCGTCCCAGCATGCAACACTGCCACAGAGCGCGCACTCAGTAAGCTAGCGCATGCGCAGTGCCCAACTCAGTGACCTTTCGGGGTCGACAAAGGTGGATCAAGCGTAAGTGGGAACGCGACTTGCGGTTTCGTTGCTGTAAGATAACAATCACACCAAAATGCTGGATCATGATCCACCTGTTCCCAATTCAAGTGGGAATGCTGTCTTACATCCTCAGAGATTTTTTTAAAACCTGCCCACATACATTGTATCTCTCTCATGCACGGCAATTTGACAGCTAGCCTGTGTATCATTCATGCTCTGCTCTCCAGGCAGAAAGTATGGCACCTGGATGTCTATACATCATGAAATATGTACCACTGTCAAACCAAAAGAGCATCTTGCTCTGTAAAACAAGCATTGGCGACACTGGTCATCAGCACTTGGTGAAGTGTTACAGTGTACAGTCCTATACCAAACAATCTGGTATACTGACAATGATCAACATTCCCTTTTTCCCCTTGAATTTTCGGTGCACTTTTACTGAGCATCGGAACTTTGTTTAAAAATAAAAGAAACATGAGTAAATCCCAGTCATTTGATTGGTGAATTGTTGGTCTCGCAATAAGAAGTATTCGTCCAAACAGGCAATGCAATAGAGACAATATTTAGCTTTGCATGAGGGAATGTGAATTTTAGGCTTGGTATAGGCCTGATGCATGAGAGAAGAATGTTTCCCTAACACCGATGTATTTATTTACATTGTAATCTCAGTGTGGTACAAGGTTTGAAAAAAGAAACGAAAAAGACAAGCTTGTTCAGGTTGGATTTGAACCTGTGACATTCTGCTCACTAACTTGCAGACATCTTATCACTTTGATAGCTAGCTCAAATACAGTGCAGCAGCAGGTACCATGCTGCAAGTAGTCAATTTATTCATCATGCAATAATTGATCACTCCATTTGTCAACTAAATTAGTCTTACTATTTTCTGTGTTAATTGTTCCTGCCGCTACACTCATGAACATTATTTGTGTACTTAGCCAAAGTTTTATAACCACAAATCATAGGATATGGAGCAAGTATCGCCGTGGAAGCTTTGCAAGATTGTAGAAGCGTTTGGTCTTTTAACACACCGCTCACTGAAATAGTTTAAAAGACAATGTTATTTTTACACAGTGCTGCTGGTATACTGCTGCATTGTTTATTTGTAGAGGGAAGGGATACACACACATGTGTTAATATTTGAGCATAAGGATCAACAAGGAATGTTGTTGTACTGTCTGCTTCGTGTGTAATATCTTATTTGCATAACTTTGGCAGAGGGCAGGATTGTTTAATTGCAAAGTCAGTGGAAGCAAGTGAGGATAATTCCTGGGAGATGCTGTTGAGCAAAAAAACTGGAACCGCTTTTTGTTTTGGCCTTGTCACAGTTTCCCCCCAAGTCCTCATACATTGCAAGAACATTGTCTCACATGTTCAGGATACATTAAAGTCAATTCTAGTCTTGGATGGTCATTACGAGTATGACTGTTCTTATGTTGATGAAGTTCATTGTAGTAATACACCGACTAACGGTTGTAATCATTTAGCATTCTGAAACTTTGTGAGACCTTTTGTGTTCATCCTAACTGAAAAAAACTCGGTTAAAAATGTGACAACTGAAGAGCTGTCACGTGGTAAAAAATATATGATGCATTATCATTTATCTGTTTGTTTAAGACTTTGAAGTTCGAAATGCACCGTCAGCAGGGACATAAATTGGTCTATTGGGACTAAAGGGTCCAAAGTAAAGAAAAATTGCATTTATTTCAGTAACATTGGCAAAGCTTTAAAGGAACGGACGGGGCACAGCTTGTGAGATGCATTGGTAATTAATTAAACCTAGCTTAAGACATGTTCATCTATGTTTTATTTTGCGGGGCTAGGGTGTGCCTTAACAGTCTGAAGACAAGGTTCTGTAAGGACCCTGCTTTTCATAAATGGGGTGGGGTTCCTGTCGTTGAGGGCAGGACCAGTTATAGCATACCTGAACTGGGAGGTACCTTTGAAGTCACAGGGGGTCTGCAGTGTGTTGACATTGTCATTGGTTCTGAAAAAACAGGCTGTGTTTGTGGACTGTCTGGGCCCTATTGTGAGGGGAAAGAAAGCAGGGCAGGGAGTAGCAACTGCTGTTTAGTTTGGCAGGTGAAGTGGGAACTAGAGATGGTTGGTAAGTTGGTTGGCCATTTGGGGGAGGGGCGTGGCTGATCTGAGGGTGTTGGAGATCGGTTCGCAGTACCTGTTGGGCACAGGGTCGACCATGGGTAGGCTGTCAGACAGGCTCTTTGTCATGGTAAAAAGGTGTTCACCTAGACCCAGACTCTAAGTTAAAAGGGACACGTGTCTGCAACTTTTGTGTTTATTGTGAAATGCTTGCTAAAAGAGGATATAAATGATTCATGAGGTTAAGTCAGTCCATATGAGTCCATTTGACCCGATCCATTTTTTGCGCAGTTTGATGGTTTTACACAGAGAGGCCACACCTGTTTTGGAGTCACAACCTGTTTTAACTTTGGCTGTTCTCAAAATGTGTCCATAAGGGAGCATTCCGGTACAGTTTGACAGAGTTCTTTATAAGTATGAGAGTTCCTGTGTTTGTGAACCAGTAAATACAGATGCTGGGCACCTGTGTTGTGTGCCATAATGCAGGAAGCCTTTTGTTTTATCTGCCTTTTGGAAGCTCTATTGACAGGACTGCATTTGTGGTCCTCTCACTTGTCTAGGCCCTTTGCCTGACCGGAGACGGGGGGAGGGTTCATCAACCCCAAAATGGAACTTTTGGCACATATTTTACACAAAGGCCTATCATAATGTGCGTGGGAACAATTGGTTGCAAACCGATGGATGCATGTAAGACTTAACACTTCGGTTTTCAATATTCACAGCGTATTGTACATTGGCCTGTTATGAATCTGCTCGTCACCTACATGTAGTGCCCTGAATCAGGCGCTGGGTGAAGAACGAATGGTATAAACATTATTACCATAATTTTGGGACTGTAGGCAGCACGGCGTATAAGCCATACCAAGTAAAAAATGTGCAAATTAACATTTAGTCGTTTTAAGCCGTGGTTTATATTCCGAAAATTACTGTATATTAAAATTGTATATTTATATTTAAAAACAACAACAAAAGGTGGAACTCAGAAGCGAGTGGGGGGATTCCTTCAAACCCCCTAGCCTAGGCTGTGGGCCTGTTGTCCCAGAGGTTTTGTATTCTAATTATGGACATCGATGTATTGAGATCATAATCTGACCAATAGTGACTGGTTTCTCAGTTGTACGTGTATGCAGTGCAGAGTTGATTCCTGATGTGGTAAGTTGCTCATTTGTAATTTGCTGGTGTGCCAACCAAAAGTGTCATATATTGCTCCAACAAGTGATACGTGAGTGCGTATATGGTGTCTGCTGAAAAGAATGCAATTAGGAAAAAACTCAACAAACAGTTACATGCAGGTTCACTGATTTCAGTTGTTGTTTTGCTTTGGATTTCAGCTTTTTTTCCTCACTGTGTACAAAAGTATAGGAGATTTTCACAGTTCAGCTTCTTTATGCCTTTTTTTCAGTTGTTTTCAGCTGTTTTATCAATCTCATCCCTGTCATTGGCATAGATCCTTTATGTCATGAATGGAGCATTCTTTTTTATAGGCTGAAAATTTCTCTGGTAGATGGGTGAGGGTGGCGCACCTACCCTATTGATGTACATAGCGACCATTTTCACAGTGCATTTGTTGCTAGTGGAACAGTTTGAATTATTCTAGACCCCTTTTCTTAAGTTTGAGGAAAATAAGAAATCTTTACATCTTTCTTTTGAGATGAACATTTAATTAACATTTAATTTAATTAATTTTTCAATGGTACCATAATTTTCACATCTGTATCACGTCATCAGTGCTGACAGACTACCACAGGCATTGAAGGAAAAACTGCATCTGATGGGTTTGTACAGGTACTTACATGGTTGCTAGTATTGGATGTCAGCCTGCATGCAT